GAGGACGACTCACTGGCCCATACCGCAAAGGAGAAAGCCGATCTTCTAGGCTCTTTCTTTGCGTCCAACTCGACTCTCGATGACGGGGGGAGTACGCCGCCGACCATCCCGCGGTGTGAGTGCTCCATGCCGGAAGTGCAGTTCACACAGCGCTCGGTTCGCAAAGCACTCCTCTCCCTGGACATCCACAAGTCGAGTGGGCCTGACGGAATCCCCCCAATTGTGCTGAGGACGTGTGCTCCAGAGTTGGCGCCGGTTTTTAACGCGTCTTTTCCGGTACTCCTACTCCCTAGGCGTAGTCCCAAAGTCATGGAAGACGGCTTTCGTCCACCCGATCCCTAAAAAAGGCGACCGCTCAGACCCGTACAACTACCGGCCTATGGCCATCACCTCCTTGTTCTCCAAAACAATGGAGTCCATTGTAAACTGCCAGCTCATGAGGTGCCTTGAGGATCACCAGCTGAATAGTGACCGCCAATACGGTTTACGCCGTGGTCGGTCAGCTGGTGATCTTCTGGTCTACCTAACTCACAGATGGGTGGACGCAGTAGAGTCCAAGGGGGAGGCATTGGCCGTTAGTTTGGACATTGCGAAGGCCTTCGATCGGGTTAGACACAAAGCACTTCTTTCGAAGCTCCCCTTCCTATGGGCTTCCCGAGAAATTGTGCGATTGGATCACCAGCTTTCTTGCAAATCGGAGCATCAAGGTCGTTGTAGATGGTGCAAGCTCCAATTGCAAGCCTATTAATGCTGGTGTTCCACAAGGCTGCGTGCTATCGCCAACGCTGTTTCTTCTGCTTATCAATGATATGTTCAAACCCGTAACATTCATTGCTATGCAGATGACAGCACTGGTGATGCTCTTTACACCGGCCGAGCCAATATTTCTCGGGAAGACGTCTCCGAGTGCCAGTACAAACTTGTGTCTGAAGTTGAGTCTTTGCTGAACAGAGTCTCGGATTGGGGGCGACTAAATCTAGTCCAGTTTAACCCCCAGAAGACACAAGTTTGCGCATTAACCGCTAAAAAGAACCCCTTTGTCGTATCTCCTCAGTTTCAAGGCACTCCCCTTGTTGCCTCAGCCAGTATCGGAATCCTCGTCGTTGACATATCGAGTGACGTGCAGTTTCGTGGTCACTTGGAAGAGAAGGCCAAATTGGCCTCTAAAAAGCTTGGCGTGCTCAGCAGAGCGGGACAGTATTTCATGCCGGCACACCGCCTGCAACTTTACAAGGCGCAGGTTCGGCCGCACATGGAATACTGTTCCCATCACATGATTGGACTGGGGCTCCCCACTACCAGCTCCTTCCACTTGACCGCATCCAGCGCAGAGCGGCTCGAATCGTCGACGACCGAGTGCTTTCCGATCGGCTCGATTCACTGGCACTGCGAAGAGATGTTGCATCTCTGCATTTTTTTTCGCATATACCATGGAGAGTGCTCTGAGGAATTGTTCGGATTAATCCCAGCCGCCAAATTTCGTGAACGTACTACGTGGCAAACGTCCCGATACCATCCACACCATCTGGATGCTTGGCGGTCCACCACAGTACGTTTCAAAAGGAGTTTTCTTCCGCGTACAACCTCTCTGTGGAATAGTTTACCACCGGCGATTTTTCCGGATCGATACGACCTGGGGACCTTCAAGAAAAGAGCTTACTCTTTTCTAAAGGGCCGGCAACGCACCTGCAATTCCCCTGGTGTTGCGGTTGATCATGGGCGGCGGTAATCACTTGACATCAGGTGAGCTGAATGATCGTTTGCCCCCTCTTCTATAAAAAAATGGAGATCTCTATGGGTCAGAGCATCCACTTACCATCAATTGGATCTCTCGTTTCCTCCTTTGTCACTACCTTACACTTTATTCTATAAAAAGGTACGTTTTATTAGTTCTCCCTAAATTTTTAAACCATATTAAGTAAATTGTGTGATTTTTTTAACTATATTAAGTAAATTGTATTGACATCAGTCCCCCGTGACCATACAACTCCCACTAACATCTCAGTTTAGTTATACCGTACCGTTATTACGCACCCCTTTCATTACCTCATAGCCACACCCCTTTCATTGCCGCACGGGCATATTTGCCATAGTTGCCACGCTTGACATTCAGGTCGGCAATCGCTGTTTTTTATTTTTTATTGTTATTAAGAAAACGCTGCTGCCCATATCCTGCTTTGTTTCCTCTGTGGCCTGTGGCGACAATAATTGTAACTTTTATATTACTTTATGCAAAATAATAACAACAAACTAAAATATACAACATACATAGCGTCTGTTTTATTAACGTCAAGAATTCTTCACAATAAAGTCTTTATTGGATCGTATCCATAAATGACAATATACACAGCAGATGCAAATTACGTTAGCTGCAGCCGCAGGACTTAAAAAAAACCAATTCTTAAAATATAAATTTATTAAAGAAAGATTACAATACTTTTATAACTAAAACTAAAATGATTAACTTGGTCGAAGTGTGACCTAAGAATGGCGAAATCCGATGCGAACTTGCAACGGGCGTCGGATCTGCTGACTCGGCGCCTCGTGACACGCGGTTCAGTCGTGTGCACCTTTAAGTAGGTTACATGCTAGGCGATTTTCGTGTAGTGAAACTACGTAATTTGCATCATAATTTCATTTTACATAAAAGAAAACATACAGATTACTTCATACAAATATTTACATGAGCCTTTATCCGTGAATATATTATTTGTTAATCTGTTGTTATGCTCAAAGCGTTATTATATAACAATTTAACAAATGTTGATAGAGCGCGAAAAGCTTTATTACATTTTTTACGAAGGATCACGGAATAAGAGTGAGTGAGTTTTTAACTTAGATAAACGATTACATAATATTGTCAGTCCGTTCAAATAGAACCGTAATGAGTAAACTAATGAAAATAAAATGCGTTACCCTGTTAACATAGGGATTATCCTTTCTTCAAATTATAAAAGATATTCTTACGAACTTTGTACATACTATACGTATATCATTATAAAGTTTTTCATACAAACATATATAATGCAAATAAGTAGACAGCAAATTGTTTTTTTTTGTAAATATTTAATTTCATTAAATTATATTTATTATTTAACCATAAAAAATATAATTTAAAAATCATGTTCTATTTGGTGACATGAAAAATTTTATAAATACATAGTATTATAGTTTGAAAACAATTTAGAAACAATAGTGACATTTATTACTAAAAACCTATATACCTAATTAAAATATTTCTTCAAAGATATAATTAAAATATTTTATGAATCAACTAATTCAAAAACATTTGTGTCTATTTAAAAATAATCAACGTTAGGCCATTAATTGCAATTTTTTTTCTACTTTACCAACAACATCATATGAAATAAAGAGGACGATATTTACAATATTATCTATAATATATAATTTCAAACTACGAAAAATATTCTGAAATATAACAATTTCTATCATAAATATGTCTATTTAAATAACTATAATATTTGGAAAACATGAAAACTAAAGTTCTTTGCAACTGTTTTCAGTTTCAAGATGCGGCTTTGGACAATATGACTAGACGTATAGCTGTAATAATTGGAATGTCACCCGGTGCGTAGATACTCAGCGTGATGCCTGTAATGAAATATGTTTTATTTTTCTTTTATGATATTCACTTTCATTTGTTGGCGTTTTTTTTTTTTTGCTTTTGCACACGTTTAAGATATTCACAGAATACGAGCGTAAAAGAGCAGCCGTGTTTTGAATAGTGAGTGTAGATAACCGTAGGCCATTTTTACTGCATACGGGGCATTCGGTATTTTGATTGTAATAAAAGATAAATGTAAATGTCTATGGACCACCGCACCAATTTAGGATTAGGGGGACTATGTGTTCGTTTGTGACCCTTTTTCTAAAAAAAAAACCATTATCACTTACTATCGGGTGGTACAGTAGTCACGCATTGGCTTATAATCGTTCAAATAGTTCTGCGTTAGGTATCTGTGTTGTAGCAGTCATTTATCATAGGTAACGTTTTTATAATATTTGCTGTTAATTTATAACAAACAATATAAAAACTCATAAAGTTTAGAAGAATTTAGATGGACAGATAACTCTTTACTGTACACCAAAACAATACATGAACGAAAAATAGTATCACAATGGGCGGTTTTATCGCTAAAAGCGGTTTTTCCAGACCTTTGGATGAACAAGATCGCAAAATGCAAAAAAACTGTGTGCGATTCTTAAGAATAATTTTTAATACGGTATAATAACCTTTCTTACTTTAAACAAAACTGAGCTAAAGCTGTTAGCAAAACCAATGCTAGAACTATGCACGTGCTTGTTCCTGAAAATTAAACAAATTATATTACAAACAGTTTAACATATACAAATAAAGATTATAAGTGCTGGTTTAACTCGTTAGTTCTCAGAATTTTCTCAGCAACAGTAACTTACAAGTTTACTATAAAGGATGCAGTTTTTAGGTTAATTCATCATATTTTCGTCAGTTTTATTATAGTTTTAGCACGAATGGAATCAACCGGGAAAGAACCACGCTCCCACAGAATACCAGTGTAAAATAGCAGAATAATGCCGCTGTGTTTCCTAAGATCAGCTTAGAGAACAAGAGACCATTTCTACTGGAAAAGGGGCATTCCATCGATGTCCTCTATTGGTGACGACGTGACGCATCTGCATTTTGCAGAGGTTAATTAATTTCTTGTCTAGTATAATATCTAGACTGTAGTAGTGTGATGTGAAAATTATTATTATTTATTATTACTGTGGTGTAATGTGTTCATGGTCACGGATCAATGTCATTTCATGGGGTACCGGAGTAAAATTCTACAGATCTGTTGATAATTTTTTTATTATATATTTACATGAATAATCTATTTCATAAGCATTATTTATATTACTAAAGGAGAGAAATAATTTGTTAGCATGTATTATGATACAAATACCCCTGTGATATAGAGTGTGGTGTTTTTATTTATTTATTCTATAATATATTACAGATGTCAAATTGGAAAGCAAACAATAATCCGCCTGCAGACTTCATCCACATGCTTTATGCTGATGATGATGAAGATCTATCGGAGGACAGTGAGTTTGAGCCCGATGATGATGAGGTCAGTATCCACATTTATGTGTTTTATAATTTGTTATTATTATTTTTGTAAAATATTTTATATGTGATAGGGCTATGCTGCAGCTATATTAATAGTATAGTTGTAGCACGAATGGGTCGGTTCGTCCGGGAAAGGACTACGCTTATCATTAATTATATATATATATATATATATATATATATATATTACTTTTAAAATATTTTTATACGGGTTTATATAGACATTAATTATTATTAATAATTGTCAAATATAAATAATAAACTATAGTAAACCGTCGTTAATGCGAACACGGTTAACACGAATTTTGTTTTAAGGCGAACAAAAATTTGCTCTAGACAATAGTTCCATAAGCTTCAATGTAATTGTTCCGTTAAGACGAACCCTCGTTAATCCGAACTTTGAACAACTTTTTCGTCCCTTCACGGTTAATTATCGGATAATACGAACTATAAAAATTCCCAAATCATGTATTTTATATATTTTTGTCCTTTTTCGGTCAATACAAATACTACCGGTAAACAATGGCTGAAGAAATTAGAAAAGTCATTAACTCGAGTTTCTAAAAATAGACAAAGGATTAGGATATCAAACATTCACTTGAGTACCTAAAAATAGAAACAATACCTCATTTTTTTTTTTTAAACGTCCTCATTTTCCCCATTTTTTTGATTTCAATTTTTGCATTGTTCGAATTACACGAAATCCCCTGTAACACGAACTATTTGTCTTTTTTTTTTTTTTTTTTTCCAAAATTTTTTTTTTTATATATCAATCTTAAAAAAAAAAAAATTTTTTTTTTTTTTTTTTTTTTGTAATAAAACACAAAATAATCGTGTTCGTGTTAACGAGGGCTTACCGTAGTAAATTTGTCATTAATTAATTTCTAGAGACCCGATCATATACATTGATAAGTTGTATTGATTTGTCTGACTCTGTGATCTGTTAGACCCGTTCATCAATGACAATATTAATTATATCAGTCAACTTAAATAATAATCATAATTTATTTGCAGAAAACATGGTACATTACACGTTGGTAATTGACCAGCATGTTTTGTCATATTATTGACGTCATCATCATCAACATCGGCCCGTAAAAGTTTTCTGCTGGTCATGGGCCTCTCCCGTTGATTATTTGTAGATTTAGCTTAATTGCCACCCTCAGGGTCACACGTCTCGCATCTATGTTACTAAGCTAATCATAAGTAAAGTATCTATGTAATCTAAACAAAAGTAAAGTAATTTATTGCATTAAGATTAATAATCAGTAAAAGCGCCCATTACATCCATACCGCATCTGCATCGGTTGGGCATACTGAGAATAAGATAATTAATATCCTATGGAGGAATATTGTCCCAGGTCCTGCTGAGATGCATAAAGAGTCGTTCTTCTGTAACCATAATCTCAAGAAAAGCTCTCAGAGCTCTTCTTTGAAGCATATTCCAAGCATTTTCTATGGAATTTAAATCTAGAGATTACGCTGGCCATTCTAGGGACATCATATCATGTTTGTCACAACCAGACTGAACCGACATTGTCGTGCATAAGGAGGGAATTTTGACCCAAGCGTGTCCAATATGGCAAGACTATTAGTTCTAGCACCTAATTACAGTATTTTTTAGCCACCATAGTGTCCTGTATCCAAACGAAGTCTGTTCTTTCACCAAAACGAATTCTTACCACTATATAATTGTACCACATTGGTATGGATGAACTTGTTTAGAGTGTTGAGGCTGGACAGTACGACCAGAAACTTTCCTCAGAGTACGTGTGAGTACAATTAGGATGAAAACCAAACCGAGATTCATCGGTGAAAAGCACCAACGACCAATGATGGGATTCCAAGTTCACATGTTCTTCGTTGCAGTTTTCGTCCAATATTTCCTCTACTTAGAGCTGGAACCCTAAGTGGTCTACGACCATGAAGGTTGGTTTCGTGCAGTCTCCTCCTCACAATTTGATCACTCACAAGCACCTGGTGTTCAGCCTTTGGACAATTGCTTCGCCCTATTATATATATTGTTGCCTTCTCGCAGCAATTTGCAAAAAAATGGCTTATCTGGCTCCATCACTACCGCCGTGGCATGATAGTGTGATCACAATCTCGAAATCACATTTTTCCTGGTGCCTACTGCCAGTTGAAAAGTACCAGCCTGCAGAATTCCTACAGCTCTTCTCGAGTTAAACGTCGACGTTGCATTGCAATATAATGTCAAATTGTCACAATCTACCCAAGTTGATTTCGATTTTTATTGCATTGTAAAGAAGCATTTTAAGATCAAACATTTATTCATTAATTTAATATCATATGTATATAGCAAAAATAATCTGGCGCTATGCCAGAATTACCTGAATACCTGTTAAGTATGACTATCGGGGAAGGTGGGAAAATAGATGCAGTTTCATGTCATTGCATTGCTCTAGTCTAGCTTTAGCCGAGAGTAATGTGAATGATTAATTTAGTTTATTTCTGTAGTATAGGCATTTGTTTTCATACAAAACATATCACACTCATATAAGACAATACTCATGCAATCAATTTCCATTAATTCTACTTATGCACAGCGATCATCTCGACCAGGGAACAAATCCGGTAACATAATTTATATCTTAAAATTCCCTATATGAATTTATTAAGACATATTACTAAGAAAACGATAAACTATTCCGGCCTGAGAGTCGAACTCAAGACCTTCATATCATTAATTCGATATTTCTTTAAGATTCAACTAAGCATTTTCTTATCGGAATATTGTTGCTTGATAATTTGCTTTTTAGAAGCTATTCGTAATCGGTTAACTAATAAATTGAAATATTCTTATAGGCGCGTCTCCAACAATCTCCCCCCCGTGCATCAGCACCATCATTTGGGAGGCGTCGCGGGTACCAGGACTATTATTCTGGATGTAGGTCTCCTCAAGATACCTGTGCTAGTAATGACGTCAACCACTCTAGTGTGACCGTCTGGTCCCGGTAGCGTCCTACTAATCTTGCCTTTCGGCCACGTATTTCGTGGCAATGAATGATCTATTATCAAGACAATATCACCTTCTTTAGGCTCCATAAACTTTCCGTTATTACCTGTTCGAGGTATTAAAGTAGGCATGTATTCTTTTAGCCATCTTGTCCAAAAATGGTCGGCTAACCTCTGTGCAGATTTCCAATTGAGTTGACCCGTCAGATGTTGCTCTAAAAATAATCCAGGTGGTCGATAACCACACATGAGCGTCCCAGAAGAAAATGATTGGGTGTCAAACCCTCTTCAGGACTATCCATACTGAATGTTACCAGAGGTCTGGAATTTACAGTATGCTCTGCTTCCAAAAGCAACGTATGCAGAACCTCCTCTCGCGGGCTCCTTTCTTTGAGCGTAGCGGTCAACGCAATTTTAATTGATCTTACTAACCTTTCCCAGGCGCCACCCATGTGCGGTGCTCCCGGAGGTATAAATTTCCATTTAATATATTTTTTTAAATGACTCATTTTTCATGCCCTCATAGCATTCTTCGCATGCTTTCAATAATTCTTTATTCGCAGCTTTGAAATTCGTCCCGTTATCGCTGTATATAACGGCTGGTTTTCCTCTTCTGGCGATAAATCGCCTCAATGCCATTATCATTGACGCTGGTGTCAATGAAGCTGCTAATTCCAGATGTACTGCTCTGGTGGTCAGACACGTGAATAAAACGCCCCAACGTTTTTCGTGTCGCCTTCCTATAGTCACAACTCTCTCTCTCTCTCTTTCCTGGCTAAGTGTCCCACTGATGGTGGTTTGCTGTATTACTCATGGTCCGAAATAATCTACGGCTGAGCATGTAAAAGGTGGTTCATGATGAGCTATTCTCTCCAGAGGAATATTTCCTTGTGGCACGTTCTGCGGTTTTGACCTGTATGTCCTGCACCACTGACAATGATGTGACACACTTCGTACTACAGGTTCGCAGGTTCAAGACATAAAATTTTTGGTTCACCTCAATCATCACCGTCTGGTGATTGGCATGTCTAAAATGATGATGAACTTCTCTAATCATCATTTTAATGATTTCGTGTTTACCGTCTAATACGACAGGTTTTCTACTTTCCTCGGTCAAATTAGACTTAAAAGGTAAACGCCCATTTAAACGCAGTGAGTTATCTTCTCCTATTTCCATAGATAATTTATTTAAGCGTGAACTTCTTTCAACGCTTTTGCCTGCTTTCAAGCATTTTATTTCCGAATGAAAACACTCGTCGTGAACGAACTTCCAAATTAATAATTCAGCTTTTTTCAAGAGCGCTATGTCCAACGCGCTATCGGGTCCTTTAACCGACTTTGCTAAAACTTCGTTGGAACACATAACCGACTTTTCGGCTGCGTTGTCGGGTCCTTTAACCGACTTTCTTAAACTCTTGAATTTTTCTACCGCTTGTAAGGTGCGTGTAGTTGCCCCAAGGAATTTCTTAAAGCTGCTAAATCGTCCGTAGTCGGGTAGACTTAACGGTTTTCTTGCTTTCTCAGCGCATTTACGCCTTTTGGCGATTTTTCTTCACCAGTTTCTAAGCTATTTATGGTGTCCACTTGTTTGGGCCATAAATCAGGACTTTTCCTGAGGAATTCAGGTCCTTGAAACCAGCGATAACTTACATCGAAGGTGGAAGGAAAATTTCTGTGGCGTCGTCTGCCACGTTTTGTGACGTTGGAACCCATCGCCATTCACATGGTTTCGATTTGCTGTGACATCGATTGGCTGTGATCTTCGATCTCAGCCAATCGATGAGCAACGAATGGTTTAAAAGCGCGAGGATCTGACTTAATCCACGCTAACACTGTACGTGAGTCCGTCCAAAATACTCTCTCGAATATCTCGTACTTGTTCTCTTCAATAACTGATTAACTTATTGAATACTTAAGCTCTCCCCTCGCTCCGTTACCCGACACTAGATGGCGCTGGTGCCAGATGTCAACTTAGCCGCGCAACACTGCCGCCTCCTAAGACATGCTCGTCCCGAGCATTATCGG